ATTAACTATATGGAATTCATCATTTGAGGCTCCAGACAAATTTTGGAATTGGGTATCATCAGTGATTGAACTCGACTTAGAAGGCAATTTGATAGACGGAGACATGTCAAATGTGTTGTTGAACTCTACAGTCATTGACATATCATCAAATGGTTTGAAAGGTTGCTTGCCTCAATTATCACCAAATGTGGTTTTTGTCTCATTATCAAATAATTCATTATCAGGAGAATTGTCTCCCCTCTTATGTGGTCATAATGTGTCGAATGGGAAAAACAATTTGTTGTATTTGGACATATCATTGAATAATCTATCTGGAGGACTTACGAATTGTTGGAAGAATTGGAAATCTTTGGTTGCTGTTCACTTGGGAAGCAATAATCTATCAGGAAAGATACCTCCATCACTGGGCTTCTTATCTAATCTCACCTCACTCCATTTGCATGAGAATAAACTACATGGTCAGATTCCTCTCTCATTGCAAAATTGTCGCTCTCTGTTGGTCTTTAATGTTCGCAATAACCAATTAGCAGGAAACATACCATATTGGATATCTGAAGGTGTATTGGCTTTCCAATTAAGGTCCAATCATTTTAGTGGTAAAATCTCACCACAAATATGTGAAATGTCTTCTCTCATTGTGTTGGATATTGCACAAAACACAATCTCCGGTGATATACCCAGTTGCTTTGGTAATATCAAAACCCTACTTTTCAACAATGTTTCACGTAACAAGCTTTCTTTTAAGTTTCCTTCATCAAGTCCTGGTCGTTACTACTTCAACGATGACAGTCTAGAATTGGTTACTAAAGGTCAAATATTAGAATATGAAAAAAACCTACATTTTATGACCTTAATTGATATGTCAAGTAACAATTTGTCCGGAACAATACCTCCACAGATGTTTAGTCTCATTGGATTGCATTCCTTGAATTTATCCAACAATAAGTTAGCAGGAGAAATACCAAATGAGATTGGAAATATGAAAAACTTGGAATCCCTCGATTTTTCAACAAACCAACTTGGGGGAGAAATTCCTCAGAGCTTATCCACATTGTCCTTTTTGAGTTACTTGAACCTGTCATTCAATGATTTAACAGGCAAAATACCATTAGGCACACAACTTCAGGGATTCAGTGCACTTAGTTACATGGGCAATCATGATCTTTGTGGACCCCCACTTACCAAAATCTGCTTTCAGGATGATAATAACACACAGCTTTTAGACAAAGACGAAAATCAATCTGAATTTTTGCCATGGTTTTATATCGGAATGGAATCCGGATTTGTCACAGGCTTTTTGGGAGTTTGTTGTGTTATTTTCTTAAACAAAAAGTTCAGGTCGTGGTGGTCGTCAACATGAATCCCTTTCATTAAATTCAAAGAAATTGCACAATAATACAGGTCAGTAAAAAAAATTTATACAAATTTTATTTGAATTTATCTTTAATAATAGTTTGTTCTTCACCATTACTAAACTATATATACTTAAGTTCT